AATTTATATAGAAAGTCAAGTACAAAAAAGAAGCCAGCTTAAATGTGGCACATTTCACGCAATTCTGTAATTATAAAAGCGATTTATTTAATTTAAACTGCTAGAAATAATCCTGCTTCAAGAGCCAGAGGTCATCGGTCTTGGACCTCATAAAAAAGAAGTGTATTTGCGCATATTATTTGCCTATGAAATGATATTAATTAAATAGTCTAATAACATAAATTGGGGGGTTTATGTGATTTTAACATCCCAAAATCACTAAGCAACAACATAAAAGATGGGTTTACAATAAAGTAAAGAAGTTACATTAACTCTGCAAAACATCAAAAGTTAGGCCAGACATATGGCTCAATGCCTGGAATCCAACACCTTTTGGGAGGCCAAGGGTGGGCGATCAACCTGGAGCTCAGGTTCGAGACCAGCCCGGCAACATGCATTGAAACCTCATCTTCTATACAAAATACCAAAAATTAGCCAGGCCATGGTGGGAACTTGCCTGTAGTCCCAGCTTATTTGGAAGCTGAAGGCAGGAGAATTGCTTGGAGCCCAGATTGGAGGTGCCAGTAAGGGCCAGATCATGCCACTGTGGATCCAGCCTGGGTAATACGGCAAGACCCTGTTCCAAAGAAAAAAAAAAAAAATATATATATATCAACTAACGTATATATATATATATTATGATATATAATCTTGTACAGAATGAGTATGGTAGGTTGAAGGGTAGAAGGTGGGAAGAAAGGAAAAGGGGCCATAGTCCCTCATCAGCGTATCTCCAGAATGTGACCTCTTCTCACCAACTCCACGAGTACCTCCTGATCAGTACTACCCGTATCTCTGTCTTGATGACTGTAAGAGCCTCCCGACTACTCCCCTACCTCCCTCTATGCCTTCCTACAGTTCTCAGCATGGAAGCTATACAAATCCACAAGTCAGACCGTGTCACTCCTCTGCTCAAAACCTTGCAATGGCTTCTCATTGTACCCAAAGTAAAAGCAAAAATTATTTATATTGATCCATATGGCCCTATATCATCTCACCCTGTTATCTCTCTGACCTCATCCTCCACCACGCTGCCCTTTGCTCACTCCATTTTAGCCCTACTAGCCACCTGCAATCCTTGAATGTGCCAGGCATGCTCTTTCCTTGGGGCCTTTGCTGTTGCCTCTGCCTGGAACTCTCTTCCCTAAAATGCTCGCGTGAATAATATCCTCCTTGCCTTTGCGTCTCCTCAAACGTCATCTCTCAGTGAAGTTAAATCTGACCACCCGATTTAAAATTATTATCCCCACTTTCCAGACTCCTGAACTATCTTTTCCTGTCTTACTTTTTTTCTATGTTGAATGTATCGATGTCTACTATATAATTTCTGTATCTGAACAACCCTACTCCCAACTACCATGTAAGTGCTAATGAGCCTGAGAGCTCTGTTTCGTTCACTGAGCACTTAGAACAGTGCCTGTCACCATAGTAAGTAAGTAAGTACCCAATAAATAATCATGATTATATAAATACAGCTTGGGCATCAAGAGGAGGTATTATATATGGCTGATGGGACAAAAGCTAGAGGTTTAAGTGTATTATTTAAAGGCATAAAAGCAACCAAGAATAAAACTATAATAATAACTATCAAAAACTGGGAGAGGGTAGCTAAATCCTTGTTTTTATCATAGAGAATAAGTACAACACATAGAAATAAAGTCTTGAAAGATACACACCAAATTACTTGCAGTTGTAACTTTGCAGGAGGCAGTTTAAAGGAATAAAGGGATAAAAATCAGTGATTAAAATTTTAATCTTGGCCAGGCACGGTGGCTCACGCCTATAATCCTGGCACTTTGGGAGGCAGAAGTGGGAGGATCGCTTGAACCCAGGAGTTCAAGACCAGCCTGGGCAACACAGTGAAACCCTGTGTCTACAAAAAATGAAAAAATTAGCCAGGCACAGGGGCGCACTCCTGTAGTCCCAGCACCCAGAAGGCCGAGGGGGAGGATCCATTGAGCTTGGAAGGTCAAGGCTATAGTGAGCCATGGTCACACTACTGCACTCCAGTCTGGGCAACAGAGTAAAACCCTGTCTCAAAAAAAAAATGCAATTTTTTTTTAATCAAAAAAGGGAGGTGGTTTTCCTCTGAAAAGTGGGATTGAGAAGTGTGGCAGACAGCTGTTGTTTTTCAGTATAAACTCCTCAGCACTACCTTATTTTTACTATGTATACATATTACTTTGATGAAAATTAAAAGACAATAAATTTTATTTCAATTTTTTTGCTAATCAGCTGACTTTAGAAAATACATTTTTAAAGAAGCAAAGGAATAAGCTTTATTTAAAAATAAGTTCTTTTTAAACTTATTTAAAAAGAAGTTCTAGGTTCACTCTAGTACGTAAACAAACATCCAATAGATTCCCCAAAGTACCATACCTCATAACTGAGATGACGTTGGCCTTGGAAATTTTCAAAGCTGATGTTACCAGTTGATCACTATGGCTATAAAAATAAAAGGAGATATAATAACATTAAACATTTGGTTTTAGGCACTTTAACTCCCTGATATGTACCTGTATGGATTTCAAATTTTTCCTCTATTATCTAAGATAGTCACTGTTTGAAAGCCAAGGCCTCCTCTCCCATCCATCTGTTATCTGCTAGGGGATTAGTATAGTATTTTAACATTTGATCTTATTTTCTCCCTTCTGGATCATGTGGATTGGCTTCGCCATTGTATGAGTTTGCCAAAAGCAAGAGTAACATGCCAAACCAAACATCTGTCACTAAACTGCAGATTTATTATTTTTACCTAAAAGAATACTTGCTACATCAAGAATACTGTAGTCAATAAGCCAGATGAGGCCCCAGGCCAGGTGGGTGGTGTGACCACGGACACCAAGGTCTCAGAGAACACCCTGCTCTTCCCAATCACAGAGCCCTGAAGGACCCAGCCTTTCCTAGTGGAGTGCTGTCAAAAAAGACAACTAAGAGGAAAGTTCTGATGAGGGGATATGCAAATCTACAAAGAGTTATTTGAGTCACTTTTATAGTTTCTACAAAATTTAAAGACTGAGACTAAAAATGGCCCTCAGCCACTTATTCATTGGTCAGCCCTAGCATCTAATATAAATGCTCTTCCACAACCCCTAGCAAGCCAGGAGGGGGTAACAAAGACAGCTTTTGGCAAGACCTCAGGTGAAAGAGAAATTCTGATTCTCAACACTCTATCCCAGGAGGGTAGGGAAGAAAACAGGGAATTAATACCAAAGGACAGTGTTTCTATATCTCCACAGCATATCTTTAGGATGGGAATCAGGCTGTTACCTAGTTTCAAAGATCAACTTACAATAGCAAAGGTAAGGTGACAAGCCATTCAAGGTATTTAAAACATAAGTACTAAAACTTTATCCGTACATTTATGTGTGTGCTTTTGAAAAAAAAGGCCTGTATTGCAGTCCCCACTGGATAAATATATTTTTTACTAAATTTATTAGACATACAACAATTTTAGAAGACATCTGTCAAATACAATAACTTTAGTTTTAGAACTGTTAACATTATGCCATTTATTTTCTAACAGTGTTTATTAGGCAAGGACTGATTGCCTATAATTACCTAGACTCCCCCCACACCATTATCTAAAAGAGTGGGACAAAGGATCAGAAGGTGACCAAGCAAAACAAGTACTTTGTTTTAGAGCCTTTACATTTTAGAAAAATCACTCCCGTGATGCTCAGAGCTTTCAATGCTATTAAACCACAGACTTTTGGCCAGGCACAGTGGCTCATGTCTGTAATTCCAACACTTTGGGAGGCCGAGGCGGGAGGATGGCTTGAGTCCAGAAGTTCAAGACCAGCCTGGCAACATAGTGAGAACCCATCTCTACAATTTAAAAAATGCAAAAATTAGCCAGACATGTGCACACACCGGTAGTCCCAGCTACTCTAGAGGGTGAGGTGGCAGGATCACTTGAGCCCAGGAGCTTGAGGCTACAGTGAACTATGATTGCATCACTGCACTCCAGCCCAGATAACAGAGACGCTATCTCTAAAAAATAAAATAAAATGCATAGCTTTTAAAGCATCAGTAACCAGGAATCTCTATTAAGATTGCATACCATTCTTGTCCTCCTCAACCTCAGTCATCTCAATTCCATCCAGATGTCCAAACCAGAACCCTGGGAGTGATTCTTGTCCTCTCCCTCTACCTCAGTCTCCGTATCAAATCATCCCCCACAAAGCCCTGTTGAATATCATTCTAAAATACATCATGAGCTTTTTCACACTCTCTGGTTAAAGGTAGTCCAAGTCAACACTGTCTTACATTGGGGCTTACATTGGGGCTTACAATGCTACAATCAGAATTTTTAAATAAAAATAGTAGCAAACACCTTATAATCCTTATTATGGGTCAGGTACCCCTCTAAGTGCTTTAAATGCATTAGCTGATTTATTCTTCTCAATAACCCTATGAAGCATTCTAGCACCACTTTAAGATGAAGAAACTGATGCACAGAGAATTTAACTGACTTTCCCAACATCACACAGCTAGGAAGTGGAGGAGCCAGCTGTCCCCCCCTCACTGACCCTTTGTATTCACACCTGCCATCCTCTGGTCTGATTTCCACACAGCAACCAGTGTGATTGTTTAAACAAGTAACTTTTATACAGAACCAGAAACCTTGAAGTGAGAACAGAAAACAACTTCTATTCTTTTCTTCCCAACAGCCTGATCAAACCGGCTCTGCAGGACAGGTTCTTTCCTGGCGCCTGGGGCAAGTCCCTTGACATTTTTTTGGCGCTCTCAGTTAATACAAATTCTCTTTTAGTCGCAAATAGTCTCATTTCAATAATAAAAATGCCCAGTTCAACGTGTTGGTTGAACTTCTGAACTTCAGTACAGTTAATACTTTCTCCCCACCACCCATCCAAACCCCAAACCTGCTTGGGCTGGGAGCCTTTGTGGTGGGATTGGCTCCTCTCTCCTGGCCTCCTCCTCTTCATTGTCTCAGCCACTTCAGCCAGCCAAGGTTGGCTGTGGCAGTGGCAGTGGCAGGTGTTTAAAGCTGACTCTTGCTCTCAGGACTTTTTTTTTTTTTAGACTCTGGCCGTTGCAGGTGGCCGTGCAGGTGGCAGGTGTTTAAAGCTGACTCTTGCTCTCAGGACTTTTTTTTTTAGACAGAGTCTCGCTTTGTCACCCAGGCTGGAGTGCAGTGGCGCATGGGCTCACTGCAAGCTCTGCCTCCTGGGTTCATGCCATTCTCCTGCCTCAGCCTCCCGAGTAGGTGGGACTATAGGTGTCCGCCACCACACCTGGCTAATTTTTTGTATTTTTTAGTAGAGACGGGGTTTCACCATGTTAACCAGGATGGTCTCGATCTCCTTTTTTTTTTTTTTAGACGCAGCCTAGATAGTCCCTGTAAGTTCCTCTGATTGGAGCTCGCTGAAATAGGCAAAGCCTCGACCTTAGCTGGATGCTTACACATCCACTCCAGCCCCACGATCAGCTTGACATGTGAACTGAATCTGAACATCTCCAGCCTCTTTCTGCTAAGGTTGTCTGGTGTGGGCAGGTCTCTTAAGCATGATTCCCTTTTAAATGACCACATGTATATATTCCTGCCAAGGATTTCATACCCTGGAGCTGCCAATGAAACTCTCAATACCAGTTAACTTTCCAAATGCAGTTTCTTACTTTGATGACAGTAAGCTATTTACCGGGTATTTCTGTGACCCATGGACTCCATAGGCTACAAATCAAACCTTCCATATGGTCTCCTTGGAGCATCCCTCACTAGCACACCTGAGGCAAGGTAAAAATACCTGTCCTACCAATCTTTCATGGGGTTGTAGGGAAGACACGATGCATTGGAGATTCTCTCAATGGGAATTTCCAAATCTCAACTATCTCCTTGGCCTTTTCAATTTTAGTTCCTATATAGCCTTAAGATAGGCAAACGGGTGAAGATCCACAGAAGTGGTTTCAGCACCTCTTCCATAATTCTGCTATACATGATCCGACTCACTGCACTTTGAAATGTGGGGGTAATTAGACCCTCAGCTGTGGTGAGTCAGGAAGAGTCCTATTTTAACATTCTGTTAGAAATACTAACCACATCGTGCCTTTCCATTGCCATTAGCATTAAATGCTAAAAAAACACTAATCATATTATGTCCTTCCACTGCTATTGCTATTAAATGCTAACTCTTTACCATGTTTTTTGGAGCACTGCATGATATGGGCCTTGCCTACCTGTCTAGCCTTGTTTCATAACTCTCTTTTCCAGCTTTAGCTGCATGGGTCTTCTTGCAGGTCCTTGGATTCTCTAAGCTCTTTCCTACCTCAGGACCTTCATACATGCCTAGAACATTCTTTCCCCTACCACTCTTGTCCTCATTTGTTAGGTCTCAGCTTAAATATTATCTCATAGCAAAGGACTTTCCTGAAGTATTATAGCTCTCCACCCCCAGCCAACTATTCTCATTCATATATATTATTTTGCATTACAGCATTTACCACAAATTGTAAATGTGTGATTGTGTATTTTCAAGTTTATGGCCATATGGCCAGAAACTGGTTAACGATTTACCGAATTATTTCTGCTTTCCTCCTGGACATACAGTTGAACTACATATCCCAGCCTCCCTTGCAGTTAGGTACAGCCATCTGACTGTTGTAGTCAATGGAATGTAGGTAGAAAAAGAATACTTCTAGGCCTGGCCTGCAAAATCTTGCCATGTCTGATCCCCCATTCTTTTTTTCCATTCACCAACTTAATAGAGAAGATTCAAAAGACCCAAAAGAGCATAGAATTACAAGAGGAAAGTGATCTGAGTTAGTGCTTAGAGGGGAGAGTCCAGTATAGTCAAGACATCAGCAGCAGCCTCACTGGACTATTGTTTGAGCAAAAAAACAAACTTTTATTAGGTTAAGTCATTGAATTTTCTCTTATAGAAGTATTCCAGCAAGTAAATTGAAGAAAGAATGACAGAATTAGATTACCACTATATTAAACCCTAATGAATTCACGAATCTAGACAATGATCATCAATGGCTATTATTTGTGATGGGAAGAGGAAGCTTTGAGAATATTCACAGATATTAAATATATTTCATTGCATCCTGGGCTCTCTTTTCTTTCTTTTGTTTTTTTCAATTTTTATTTTAGATTCCAGGGTACACACACAGGTTTGTTAGAAAGGCATGTTGCATGATGCTGGGGTTTGGAGTATGATTAAACCCATCACCCAGGAAGTGAGCATAGAACCCAATAGGCATTTTTTCAACCCTTGCCCCCCTCCTTTCCCATTCTCGTATTTTCAAGTGTCTATTATTCTCCTCTTTATGTCCATGTGTACCCCATGTTTAGCTGCCACTTGTAAGTGAGAACATGTGTTATTTGATTTTCTGTTTCTGCATTACTTCAGCTGCATCCATGTTGCTACAAAGAACATGGTTTCATTCTTTTTTATGGCTGCATAGTACTCCATGGTATATCA